GATCGATTTATAGCCGCAGGAGACTACAACGCCAAACATACGCACTGGGGATCACGTCTAGTGACTCCCAAAGAAAGACAATTGTACAATGCAATTATAAATGTGAAAAATAAACTGGACTACGTTTCCCCTGGAAGTCCCACATACTGGCCAACAGACTCACGAAAGCTCCCAGACCTTATTGATTTTGCAGTGACAAAAACATACCTCGCAATCTAATAAGTGCCAAAGCAGTCTCGGACTTATCATCAGACCACTCGCCTGTGCTTCTAACGCTTCTTCAAAGCCCAGAAATAACCGAACACCCCTTCAGTCTGACGACGACAAAAAGTACGTGAGTGCCCACATAGAACTCGCCCCGGATTTTAACATGGAATCGGACATCGACTACACTACGAGCGCCCTGGAAGAAGTACTCGTTGCGGCAGCTAAAATCTCTACTCCTCATAGGAAAGAAGTAGACCGAAACAAACACTTCAAATCTAATCAGCAAATCGAACAGCTCGTGCGAGAAAAGAGGCGCACGCGTCGTGATTGGCAAAACAGCAGATCACCAGCTTCAAAACAACGCCTTAAGGAAGCAACCCGATCACTCGACCAGGCTCTTCACCAACAGGAAGAAAATGCACAGCTGAGGTACATCCAGAATCTCTCGCCAACAAGCACAAAGTACCCCCTGTGGAGGGCCCACCCAAATCTTAGTGCCCCAATTGAAACGACCACCCCGATAAGAAACTCTTCGGGATGCTGGGCTCGCAGCAACGAAGACCGAGCTGAAACATTCGCCACACATCTCCAAAGTGTCTTCCAGCCAAACCCAGCCTCAAATTCATTCCTCCTGCCAGTAATTCAGCCAGAGTCCTCCCCTCAGCCAGCCGCACCTCCATTCCGGCCGAACGAAATCGAAAAAGTCATAAGAGGGCTAAAACCAAAAAAGGCTCCCGGTGGTGACCTATTGACCCCAAAGATGCTGATGATTAACTCGCATAATACCACATCTGGAAGCTTGCAATATCATCCCGGCACACCAATTTGGCTTTCGAAGAAACCATGGAACCATCGAACAAGTGAACAGATTAACATCCGAAATACGCTCAGCCTTCGAACAACGAGAATACTGCAGCGCTATTTTCCTCGACGTATCTCAAGCTTTCGACCGAGTTTGGCTCATCGGACTCATGCACAAAATTAAAATGTATTTGCCAACATACACCCACAAGCTACTGGAATCATACCTCTTCAATAGGGTATTCTCAGTGAGATGCAACGCAGCTACTTCGGGCGACTACACCACCGAAGCTGGAGTTCCACAGGGAAGCGCACTCGGGCCGTGTCTATATGTTTTGTATACTGCGGATATTCCTACGAGCGCACAACTAACAACGTCAACGTTCGCCGATGATACCGCTATTCTTAGTCGCTCCAGATGCCCAACGCAGGCAACAACCCAACTGGCTAATCATCTCACAATAGTGGAAAGGTGGCTGTCCGACTGGCGCATTAAAATAAACGAACAAAAGTGTAAACATCTAACGTTTACTCTTAATAGACAAACATGCCCTCCGCTTTTACTAAACGGTATGCAGATCCCTCAAGCTAACGACGTAACGTACCTTGGCGTTCACATTGATAGACGACTTACCTGGCGTAAGCACATCGAATGCAAAAAGATGCATCTAAAACTGAAAGCCAGCAGCCTCCACTGGATCATAAACTCACGATCGCCACTGTGCCTGGACTACAAGCTACTACTGTACAATTCAGTCCTAAAGCCAATCTGGACGTATGGCTCCCAGCTGTGGGGGAACGCGAGCAGCAGCAACATAGACATCATACAGCGCGCACAATCAAAAATCCTGAGAACTATCACAGGGGCACCTTGGTATGTTCGCAACGAAAACATCCACCGGGATCTGGGCATCCTCGCAGTGAAAGACGAAATCCAGAAGCAAAAAGAGTCATACAAAGAAAAACTGTCTTCGCACCCAAATTTTCTCGCTCGGGGATTGACTCGGGTTTCTAGCGTATCCCGCCTTAGACGCAACGACCTCCCAACCCAGCAATCGATTTTTAGGGCCGTCTAACTCCGTATCAGTCAATATGACTGTTAGTTAAGTTAAAAATATAAGATTTGATACACCTCTTGTTAGTCTCGCAAAGAGAAGATTCAAGAAATAAAAGCAACGTTAAAAAAAAAAAAAAAAAAAAAAATTCTTAATTAATAAGTTTTGAACTAATTTGAAAACTTTTAAATAAATTTTAAATTCCCCATAAAGTGGTCAAATACCTCATAGTGAACTAGTCTAAATAGAACAAAAAAAATAATAAATAAAAATACAGATTTTTGTAACACAAAAATTTATTTTTCCAAAATCGGTCTAACGACCCAATTTTTGTTTCGTGTGGAGATATCGCGCATATCTGGGATAACTCTCCAACTCAAGATATTTTCTTATAAGTGGACTACTTATACACCTCTACACAGGATTCACAAAATTAGTAGCTCCACTTATAGGACAACATCTGTAGTTGGAGAGTATCCAGCATGCAATATGAGCGTTTTTGGAGCGTTTTTTTAACCTTTATTTTGGGTAAAAACACCCATAAAATGTTCCGAAAAAATACCGGAAAGAGCGTTTTTCCCCTTGAAAATGGTCCGTCATAAGGATGGTAATTTGAGAGTCCGATAAGTGCTCTTTTTTGACTCCTAAATAGGTGCTTTGACCCTCCGATGAAGCAGTGAAAGCCCTCAGAAAACGCACATAAAAGTAGCCTTTCCAGACACCTAAATCACCCCTTAAAAATACTTTTAGGTGCGTTTTAAACAGCACTAAAAGATACTTTTAGGTGCGTTTTCAGGCACTTAAATCGCCCCAAAAAGTTACTTTTTTTACACATTTGGATTTCATTTTTATTCATTTTTTATTTATTATTTAAATTGTAAAAATTAAACATTATAGCATTCAATATAAACTTAAACATTCAAACTTAAACATTAAACATACTTTATAAATTTTTTCCATTATATTTATTTTTGTTTCATTTTCAGTTTTTTATCTTATTTTTATAAAAAATTTACTTGTTATTTAGTTTATTTACTGACTTATTATACTATTTAACTCTATCCGAAGCAGTCTGGAACCACTTGCCGCATATTGTTGGAAATATTTTATCATTGACCGAAAATTTTTAATTGAATGCTCCTGGAACAAAAGAAAAACAAATATTAATTAAATTGGTTAATGAAAGGCATTTAAAATACAATAATTACCTTTAATTGTTGCTGTTAATGTTATATTAAAAGAAACTGCCCAGCTCGATAATTCCTCACGCAAAGATTTTTTATTACAGTCATCATAACCGTCGCTAGTTAAATAGTCATCATCACTTTCTATACAATTTTGGTTAATATAATTATCTGGATGTTTGTTTATGTTTATATGTTTATTTCCTTCGCTGAGCATCACTGACGGTGGAGTCTCACTGCAGCGTCGCTTAGCTCTAAGAGCATTAATTATTTTTATACCCTTGCAGAGGGTATTATAATTTTGTCCAAAAGTGTGCAACGCAGTGAAGGAGACATCTCCGACCCTATAAAGTATATATATTCTTGATCAGGATCACCTCCTGAGTTGATATGAGCATGTCCGTCTGTCCGTCTGTCTGTTTCTACGCAAACTAGTCTCTCAGTTTTAAAGCTATCGTCTTGAAACTTTGCACACACCCTTCTTTCCTTTGCACGCAGTATATAAGTCGGAACGGCCGGGATCGGCCGACTATATCCTATAGCTGCCATATAACTGATTGATCGGAAATGGTATAACTTTGGTGTTTTTAGAGTTAGAGAGTTCAAATTTGACATGAGAGCTATTTTGGCAAAATAATACGACATGCCAAATTTCATAAGGATCGGCCGACTATATCCTATAGCTGCCATATAACTGAACGATCGGAAATGACCCAACTTTTGTGTTTTTGAAGATAGAAAGCTGGAACTTGGTACAGATTATATTTTGATCCATCCTACCAAATTTCATAAGGATCGGCCAACTATATCCGATGTTTGCGATATATATCCGCTTTTAGCTGCAAGGGTATATAAACTTCGGCTCCGCCCGAAGTTAGCTTTCCTTTCTTGTTTTTGACTCATTTCGGCTTGATCTTCGATCACTCATTTTTATTATTTATATATGAATATATTTATATATTTATAAAGATATTTACGTTTCAATTTAACTTGCACTTCACGTGTTAAACCTCCCGACTTTCAGTTTCGTAATGAGCAAAAATGAGCAAATTTTCTAGCATTTTCTTGTCGCAAGAATCTGCAGTCCGTTATTCTAATCGAGCCCTTTACTTTGTGTTTACTTACCATTAGCTCCCAAAACGCTCCGAAATCGCTCTAAAATATGTGTTTACTCAAAAAACGCTCCTAAAACGCTCTGAAATATGTGTTTACTCCGAAAACGCTCCGAAACAGGGCTCTTTCCAGACACCTAATTCGGAGCGCTCCTAACTTTGCATGCTGGGTTATCCCATACACACATACATACGTATAAGTAAATATTATGTCGGACGAGTGTTGAGGACACAGAAACTGCCTATTACCAGCTCATTACTCATAAGGAATTACCTAGTGGTCGACCTAGTGATTACCAATAAAAATAATTATTTATTATTGTTTCATTATTGATAGCTAAAATAAAAAGAAACAAGGAACTGTAAAATGCTTAAAGAGATGAGTTGGTGGAAGAGATGAGTAACGGGTATAATACAGTCGGGAAACTTGACTGAAGCCGTACTTTTTGTTTTTCGAATTCGCTTTTTTTATAGCCGATAGCTATGTACTTTGAAATGGATAACTGGCGCCATGTATTGAAATTTCTGTGAATACTATGAATACTTTGCTGTAAAGAAAATGTTGTTTACGAATAAGGTTATACTTTTCTTTCATAATTTAAAGATTTTTCAATAAAATAATCAAATAATAAATTCCGTAGTTGCTGGAGACTCATCAAAAACACCCGCCCCATCAAACACAGTTGCAAGTAATGATACTGTTTTCCAAGTTAATGTTGCTGTTTTACCAGATATCATGCACCCAAACCACACCATCGACTGTGAAAAAAATAACTATGTTATTCATAAAAATGATTGTAATAAGTATTACATATGCCAACATGGAGAGCTCGTAGAACAACGGTAAGTGATATTTTAAATGACAATGTTTGGAAAAAATGTATGAATGTATGTATGTACAATGTATGTACATACATGCAAATTAATTAGAATCTAATGAATTTTAATTCCACGTATTCACTATTAAAAATATGTGTAAAACTTTAAATCACAGTTCTTTGGTTTTTTTGATTTATTTAACTACTTGATGCGGTTCTGGGTGGGAATGCTTTGGAGGCGTAGTTGACAGACAAAGCTGTTTTTTTTTTTAACGTTGATTTTTTTTCTTGAATCTTCTCTTTGCGAGACTAACAAGAGGTGTATCAATTCTTATATTTTTAACTTAACTAACAGTCATATTGACTGATACGGAGTTAGACGGCCCTAAAAATCGATTGCTGGGTTGGGAGGTCGTTGCGTCTAAGGCGGGATACGCTAGAAACCCGAGTCAATCCCCGAGCGAGAAAATTTGGGTGCGAAGACAGTTTTTCTTTGTATGACTCTTTTTGCTTCTGGATTTCGTCTTTCACTGCGAGGATGCCCAGATCCCGGTGGATGTTTTCGTTGCGAACATACCAAGGTGGCCCTGTGATAGTTCTCAAGATTTTTGATTGTGCGCGCTGTATGATGTCTATGTTGCTGCTGCTCGCGTTCCCCCACAGCTGGGAGCCATACGTCCAGATTGGCTTAAGGACTGAATTGTACAGTAGTAACTTGCAGTCCAGGCACAGTGGCGATCGTGAGTTTATGATCCAGTGGAGGCTGCTGGCTTTCAGTTTTAGCTGCCTCCTTTTTCATTCGATGTGCTTGCGCCAGGTAAGTCGTCTATCAAGGTGAACGTAAAAGCGGTAGGCATGTTTGTCTATTAAGAGTAAACGTTATATGTTTACACTTTTGTTCGTTTATTTTAATGCGCCAGTCGGACAGCCACCTTTCCACTATTGTGAGATGATTAGCCAGTTGGGTTGTTGCCTGCGTTGGGCATCTGGAGCGACTAAGGATAGCTGTATCGTCGGCGAACGTTGATGTTGTTAGTTGTGCGCTCGTAGGGATATCCGCAGTATACAAAACATATAGACACGGGCCGAGTGCGCTTCCTTGTGGAACTCCAGCTTCGATGGTGTAGTCGCCCGAAGTAGCTGCGTTGCATCTTACTGAGAATACCCTATTGTAGAGGTATGATTCCAGTAGCTTGTGGGTGTATGTTGGCAAATACGTTTTAATTTTGTGCATGAGTCCGATGAGCCAAACTCGGTCGAAAGCTTGAGATACGTCGAGGAAAATAGCGCTGCAGTATTCTCGCTGTTCGAAGGCTGAGCGTATTTCGGATGTTAATCTGTTCAATTGTTCGATGGTTCCATGGTTTCTTCGAAAGCAAGCGAGTTAACAAGCATTTTTCAAACAATTTAGACAAACAAGATAGAAGGCTTATTGGTCTGTATGATGACGGAATTGTGTGGTCTTTTCCAGGCTTCGGTATCATTATAATGATGGATTTCTTCCACTTTTTTGGTAAATAGCCAAGATTAATGATTCCATTAAATAGTTTGCAGACGACCTCTATAGCGCATTTTGGAAGTTCGATCAGCATCTTTGGGGTCAATATGTCACCACCGGGAGCCTTTTTTGGTTTCAGCCCTCTTATGACTTTTTCGATTTTGTTCGGCCGGAATCAAGGTGCGGCTGGCTGAGGGGAGGACTGTGGCTGAATTTCTGGCAGGAGGAATGAATTTTAGGCTGGGTTTAGCTGGAAGACACTTTGAAGATGTGTGGCGAATGTTTCAGCTCGGTCTTCGTCGCTGCGAGCACAGCATCCCGAAGAGTTTCTTATCGGGGTGGTCGTTTCAATTGGGGCGCTAAGATTTGGGTGGGCTTGTTGGCGAGAGATTCTGGATGTACCTCAGCTGTGCATTTTCTTCCTGTTGGTGAAGAGCCTGGTCGAGTGATCGGGTTGCTTCCTTAAGGCGTTGTTTTGAAGCTGGTGATCTGCTGTTTTTCCAATCACGACGCGTGCGCCTCTTTTCTCGCACGAGCTGTTCGATTTGCTGATTAGATTTGAAGTGTTTGTTTAGGTCTACATCTTTCCTATGAGGAGTAGAGATTTTAGCTGCCGCAACGAGTACTTCTTCCAGGGCGCTCGTAGTGTAGTCGATGTCCGATTCCATGTTAAATTCCGGGGCGAGTTCTATGTGGGCACTCACGTACTTTTTGTATTTTAGCCAGTTCATTTTTGGCGTCGTCAGACTGAAGGGGTGTTCGGGTATTTCTGGGCTTTGAAGAAGCGTGAGAAGCACAGGCGAGTGGTCTGATGATAAGTCCGAGACTGCTTTGGCACTTATTAGATTGCGAGGTATGTTTTTTGTCACTGCAAAATCAATAAGGTCTGGGAGCTTTCGTGAGTCTGTTGGCCAGTATGTGGGACTTCCAGGGGAAACGTGGTCCAGTTTATTTTTCACATTTATAATTGCATTGTACAATTGTCTTCCTTTGGGAGTCACTAGACGTGATCCCAGTGCGTATGTTTGGCGTTGTAGTCTCCTGCGGCTATAAATCGATCCCCAAGTGAATTGTAGAAGTCCATAAATTGTCCTTCCGAGATTGACAAACGAGGAGGGCAGTAAACGGCAGCGATTGAAAGGATTCCGTTGCTTGACTAAATTTGTATCGATGTGGCCTGCAAGACGTTTGATGCAAACCTTTTGTGAAAGTGGTGTTTAATGCGTTCTCTGATTAGAACTCCAGTTCCGCCGTGGGCTTTCCCATCTGGATGATCTGTGCGGTACATTGTGTAGCCTCTTATAAGAAAGTTGTATTTGCTTGTAAGATGCGTTTCCACCAGTAGCATAACGTCAATATGGTTTTCGGTTAAGAATTGTGATAATTCTAGTTTATGCCGTGAGACACCATTGGCGTTCCACATTGATATTCGTAGCGCCTGCATAGATTATTTAGACTGTTGTGCTACGAGCAGCTGTATCACCATGTTTTGGTTTTGAACAAGCGTTTGCATGGTCGTTTTCATGAATGACATAAGCTCCATCATACTTTGTTGGAGGGTAAGCATCATAGTTTCCATTTTGCTGTGTGGCTGTTCTGGGGACTGTTGAGCGCTTTGAGAGTTAGGCTGAATTGGAATTTCCCTTCCAGATCGTAGAGCATCGGCGTAGGAGAAGCCGTTGGTAGTTTTTAGTGGACCGAATGAGGATATCGCAGCTTTGGCGAAGAAGACGTCTGGCGTAGTTTTTGACGCAATGTACGCATTCTGTGGATTTTGGTTGCGCGTTGCGGTCGCTTGACGCATGCGACTCTTTAACTCCTTATACACCATACATCCTCTATAGTTTGCTGTATGGCTGCCTCCGCGGTTTCCACATTTCTTCACGGTACTGTCCTTGTTTGTAGTGCAGCAAGCGGACTTGTGGGCGTCCCCGCAGGCTACACAGACAGCCCGAAGTGTACAGTAAGACCTTGTGTGTCCATACTCTTGACAGTTAGTGCATTGCACTGGACCGTTGCGTTTATGTGGCTCTTCAATAGTGATTTTCCGATGCAAAAGATATTGCAGGTTGTAGATTGGGTGGACTTCGTTCTTCTTCAGCGACCTGCTTTCTGGCTCGAGCTCGACCTTGAAGAGGGGTTGTGGCTTTTTATCTTTATTTAGAATGTTAATAACATTCTTGGCGGCGAAGCCCTTTTCTTTAAGGGTGGTTTTTATTTCCGCGGCGGTAACATCAGGTTCTATTCCATTTACTAACACTTTTAGGCCCTTACTGCTTCTCAGCTGGTACGTGTAATAGTTTTTCTGTTCAGTGTCCAGATATTCGGACACGATTCGGAAGCGCTCTTCAGTCTTGGTTTGCACCTTTGTTTCATGGATGTTCCCTTTAATAAGCGGAACAACATGAAAGTTGTCACCGTTCCCGATCAACGACGCAATTTTGTTGACCAGGGCACTCGAGCTTTTTTCCCTAATATAGATTAGAGGGGGCTTGGGTTTTTCTTGCGGTGTCTTGGGCTGGTTGGTTTTCCTCAACCTTCGCCAGTAGGGCAAATCTGTTAGTAGTGGATCTGTCTAAATCTTGCGGTCTAAGCTTGCACTTAATTTAGATGTAGCGATCCATTCCAGTCTGTGTGGCCGTGGCCGCTTTGGCACTTTCCGAAGCTTTTGTTTTTGTACTCGCTGTAGTCGTTGACGTCGCGGTACTTTGAGTTGCAGTGGTTGTCGCTGCTGCAGAAATTTTAGCCCGGCTAGTTGTTGGTGCGAAATTTGTTTCCGATATTGGAGGGGGGGTTTTACACTGCGAACTCCATGACGAGGGAGTCGGAGTGAGCAGAGCGAATGAGAAAGACCGTGCCCTTTGGGTTTCGGCGGTCAGTGAAGCCGGGTTGCTCTTAATCGCCGATTTTTCCACTTCGGTATCGCGGGTTGAAAAGTAGGAGTAGAAGCCGCTTCTTTGGTTCACTGAACTTCTACGCTCGTTCTTTTGATCGTTGCTCAATGAGCTCATTGCGTGGCACTTACTTTTTTTTTTAACAATGCACTAGTTTTGGTTTAGCACATCACAACTGTTATAAAAAGCTTGTCTGTCGCTTTTAGTAAATTGTAGTTTAGCGTTTTTTCGCTTATATTGGGTTACCCCAGTTTTTTTGATTAGCTGTATTATGGTGCAGTTTTCCCGGAGCTCGGACAAAGCACGTCCGCTCAGTTCGGTAGTTCGTATACCAATCCGAACAGACAAAGCTGACCGCTGATTTATGCCGGGCCTGTCAGAGTTGCTTGAAAATTTGCTCTTGGCTCAAAGTTTTTTATAAATTGGTTAAGAACCCTTAAGAAATGCTTTATATAACGTGGATTGGTGTAATTAAACTTTTAAATTAAAGTTTTTAAGCATTTTAAAATAAAATTCTTAAAACGCTCTGCCAACTATATCCGATATTCGCGATGTATGTATGTATGTATATCCTATATTAATTGCAAGGGTTGGATGGCAGGCAGTAAAGAAGACATCTCCGACCTTATAAGG